TAACAAGGATCACCCGCCAGTATACGTAGATCTTTTAAGTCGTAGTGACAAAGACTGGCGAAATTATATCGCATTTCTATTACAGGATTATTACTGTGTATAAGTAAGTATAATTTAAGGCATTTTGCACAACGTCCTAAACGCATCTTCCGTTAAAATTTGCAAATCCATACAACACACGTGTGTTTTGCACGATATTTGCTTAAAGCTCCATTATTTTTAACAAATCACCATTGGATTACCTGATAACCCTCAGAAGCAAAAGCTAGTCTAAACACTAATTAAGATTCAGTTCGTACCGCGCAGAAAACAATTACCATGTTCGAATTTATTCTGAAAAAAAGTGTTAACGATGTTTTCTCACAATAACACGTGTTTGTTAACGAACTGAACTCAAATATTTCATTTCATTTAAGAGCTGTGCTATAATGTTTGAGAACCACTGCGTCTATCATAGGCACGGCAGAACAGTAGCGTAATATTCAAAACGTCCCAACAATCTCCGTTGTTATTAAAATAAGCGAAGAGGATTATGGTGTACCTGATAGAAACTGACAACTCAGAAATACTTTCTGCCTTCATAATCAAGGCAATGATGGTGGAGTCAGCAAATACATATTAAATAACATTCAATTTATGTCAGACTGCACGGTACAGGACCCCAAATGACAATCACCTTCGAAAGTAAATTAAAGAAACTCTCAATATAACGATAATCAATTACTCTCTAAAAAGTCGTGAATGTCGCATATATCTCAGGCAGTGCACAATATCCAACGTAATATGTATGTAATGATTATAAGTTTGTGCATCCGCGAAAGACTTTCCCAATATTATTGAAAATGATGTCAGTAAAATGGGAACTCGCCACGGAATTAAAAACACGCTGAAGTATTCCCAAACCTAAGGAATTATCTGAATTTCGCATTTACTGGACGCTGTATTGCTGCTCCGTAATGCTTCTTATGCCTGTCTTAAACTTAGTATCTGCTGTTTCATTAAAGTTCACTTTGATTCTGTAACGCAGAAGAACGACAGCGGATCATCAGCTGACATACACTTTGTCGTCCTCTTGAAATGACAGACTCTGTCGTCATGCAACATATCGCGTCACTTTCTCTACTTAAGTTACTGCAGTTAAATCAGGAATTTCCCGTCTCATGTTCTTCTCATCGTAGTTGCACTATGTATTGTTCGGAACTTTAAATACCAAACAAACTTTTTATTGCGTATTTGATATCGCATCATGCGGGATGGCTTAGTCGGTAAAGAGTCTAGCTGGACGACAGGAGTTTGATTCGTGGTTACGACATTGGCTGTTCACCTATCTGTGGAGCTTCGCCTCCACATTTCCTGTACTCTTTCGTGGAACGTTGCCGTTTTCGTCGTTTTGGAATTTATCCGTCGTTTGTTTTCTTAAAAAGTCTGAAGCCTTAAAGAATTTTGAAAACTTAGTGAAGAGTTGAAGATTTCTATCTTCTGGGTTGTTGCGCTGTGTAGTCTGGTCGATGTTAGCCAACGTTCGTTTCAGAGGTCATACTGCCTCCGTCTTCAGGGCGATGAATCGCCCTGAAGACAGAAATCTTCATACTCACCGCTGTGAAAACCTCAAATCTTACTTAGTGAAGAGTTCTTTTAAAAACAGACAATGGGTAAAAAGGTAGCGATATTGCCATCGCCGAGGCGTTCACGGATAATCGTGGAACTTTTCCTAGGCCTATAAACTACTTCATTTTTGCCTCCTCACAAACATTTCGTTACTTCGGTCGAAGAGAGAAATGTCTCAGAAGCTTCTTAAGAGGTTTTTATTATAGAATTGATGTCCTTCTGCGCGAAATAAATTTCAGACCCCCTAGACTGCATTTAGGAAGAGCTGGTGTTTATATCCATATATCTTCTGTTGGTTTTTCGGTCTTTGAACCAGAACGCACGAGCAATGATGGAAGTATAAACTTTTGCTTTAATACACATTTAAGGTAAGGAAAGTAAGAAGACTTTTTATAAAATGTAATTTTCTTTGTAATAAGCAGCAGTGATATCTTAGACTCATCTAAGTGCCCCGTTGCTTGGCAACCAACATAGCCCTCACCCTGGTCCTGTTTCCCTCTTCTTGCGAGGGCTGCTGATTTCCTAACTTGAGCAGACTCGCTCGTTTCCTTCTTTCGAAGGTGTCTCGGTGTGGTGTTTTCCCCACCCACATTGCAGAGGGCGTCCAAAGGCCATCACACTCTTCATCGAAATGAATCGAACCGAATAGAATTCCCAGCCGGTTCGTTCCTTTCGATTTCAGCTACTGTGTGCTTTATCTTAAGAAAATGTCACTTTTCTTTAAATGCTTAAGTAATACCCTTTTAACTAAGTAACTAACTAACTAACTAACTCTCTGGTAGAGAAGCTGCAGGTCCAACACCGATAACACCAAATCCCGCCACCGGGCTCGATCCTGAGTTAACTCCATTCATTTACCATCCTCACAGCCCACCTCCGAAAGATCCATCTTCATATTTTCCTCCCTTCTCCTTCGCAATTCCTTTGAGGTTTTGGAAATTCTGAGACATTGAAAGCGTTTTAAAGAACTTGTTCTAAGAATACCTTGAGGATCTGAATCGGTTCTGTTCAACTTGTTTCGATGTGATATGCGCTGGCCTTAAAGCGATGTTCTCTCTGCAAGAATTTAGTGACGCCAAAGTTAGGTCACCTTACTTTTAAGATGCCATACCACTGTTTCTTGCATCATTATTGAGATTTATGTTTCTACGTAAATACAAAGTCACAGTTCATATAACTATTTCGACATGTGCATGACGAATTTGTAGATTTCGCACGTACATTTCAGAACTTCTAATAATTACTTGCTTTCCTTCCTATTTGATCAATACCAGCGATGCCCACGCAATCGGGAAGGGAAGGATTTGTCGCTACGCCTGCACCTCCGACATTCAAGTTTCCACAGTTTACAGTATTACTTTATGTTTGTCTGAGACCTCGAATGCAGTGGTGCAATATTTGTTAAATGACGTTATCGTATCACTAAATTCTCATAACTAACATTTTTCGTTTCCGCATTGTAACTGCATAACGCTTTTCATTTTTACAATGGGATAGAAGTCTTAATACCAGACCTTACTGTTAATAAATGTTTAATAATTTCTTAAAATAGTAAAATGTTCCTGTGAAGTCCACTCCTGCATGGCGCTGGTTGATGTACCTCTAAATTAAGGGCCTTTAATGAACTTTGTGCTGATTTTCAAGACTAACCAACCGTACATAGCTATGATTATATGAGTTTAATAAACTTCGAACAAAGCTACTTTTATAGTAGAGAATATCATCTTATCTAAACATTTTATAAGCATTATTTTTTTACTTTTAAAGTGCATTGGCCTGGCGACGACATAAACACCAGAATTCTTTTGTTTTGTAGAATAAAGGGAAATTACGAAATCTATTAAATTTTCTTGCGAAAAATAAACGTCGTGGCTTAAGGAATTGAAAAATATAAAGATACAAAAATTCCAAATAAACCCTGACTAAATATTGTCACTGCATTTCCCTTTTTATGCTGTTTTAACAAAGTGTATGAAGTGGGCGTATGTGTTGGAAATTATACTTCCGCTTGATCTGTCAAGATCAATAAGTTACGTAAAATTACAAGGAAATCATTTGGAAAATGTTTAACGTTTACTCAAAATTGTATTACACGTTTTCACACTTAATGCCAGTATCCGGTTTGCTTCAATTGTGCATCAGAATAGATTGTTATATTTGAGTCGAATAGCAGCAGCGAAAACAAATGCTGCCTTAAAATGCGCTCATTGGTTACTGTTTCAATAAACGCGCATTTTACCCTCCATATATTCCGAAGAACTTGTGGCAACAAATTGAAATGTCGATAATCTGATTATCGCTTACAGCGCGGCAATACCAATCCTGCAATTAATTCATTTCCGTCTCATTTGATAACTCTCCGGCGCCCTATTTGATCGAGCCCTTTAATTTAGTGACAGTTTAGCTTACCCTTGTGTTTTGTTTAACGCATGTTTCCGTCTTCCTCAGTCCGATCATGACGCAGCAGTTCATTTCAGAATTCACTTCCTCTTTCACTGTAGTGACGTTTCAAATGTTTTAAAATAAAACGATTCGCAGAAGTTTATCTGTCTCATTTCCTGGCGAGATATACATTTTATTTAGACAGGATTTTGCTGGTTGCATAGGAAGAAGCTGTTTCTTGGGTGTCAAGATGGTGGCTGCCGGCCGGTGTATGATTCCACTGACCTGCGAATTAGTTTAACGACTCTTACAGTCATTATCAACATCTCGAGGCATTAATGTGTAGTTTTTTTTCTGAATTACGTCATAAAAACTGTCGATAATTCCATTTCCGCCTTTGTATCTGTTGCGTAATTGCGTGAGCGTACTTGATAGTT